TTGTTGCTGCTTTACAGGTTGTTGCTCATGTTGTGTAACATCAGCCTAATGTTGGCACGAATGATGGGTCTCGTGTATTAGAGACGTTTTAAAGGAACCATCCGCCTACTTTCAAGGGTCGGTATGTTCCTGATGGAGCGCAGACTTGGCTCAAGGAGATTTAGAGGATCTTTTAAGTCATGGATTTATCAGAGGCACAAAAGGTGCAGTTTGGTACGCATATGTTGGAAAAGAAAGCCAATGACTGGTGGGTTGGCACCCGCCAGAGATTGTCAGTGATGGGTGAAGTTGTTACTTGGGTTGTGTTCAGTAGGGATTTTCTGAGGAAGTATTTTTCCCAAAGATATGCGCGTAAAGAAGGAGATAGAGTTCCTTGAGTTAAAAGAAGGGAATCTGTTGGTGACTGAGTATGCTTCAAGGTTTTTGGAGGCAGCAAAGTATTATCCATATTACAGTGAAGTGATTGCTGAATTTTCAAAGTGTATCAAATTAGAGAATGGTTTGTGTCCGGAAATCAAATGAGCAATTGGATATCAGTAGACCCGTAGGTTTCTAGAGTTGGTGAATAGTTATAGAATTTATGAATAATACATCAAAGCTGATTCGGCTCACTACAAGAGTCTGAATGAGAAGAGAGGAAAACAACAACAAGATCGTAGGAAGTCCTATGATGCTCTAGCTGATAAAGGGAAACAGAGAGTTTCCGATGGGAAGAGGACAAGTGGGGGAGAAGCCCTTGCTCCTATCAAGTGTTACAAGTGTGGTGAACAAGGTCATTGTTCTAATGAATGTAAGAATAAGGTTCTGAGATGTTATAAATATGGTAAGATGGGTCATCGTGCTCCTGAATGCAAAAATGATGGTCCGACTTATTTTAATTGTGAAGAACAAGGTTATATCAGTACCCTGTTCTAGAAGCCAAAAGGGGACGCTAATTCCTAGACCAATGGTAGATTGTTCACTTTGAGTAGATCAGAGAGTTCCAAGAAATACAATTTGATTCGAGGTACTTGTTTTATTAATGATGTTGAATCTGTTGCTATTATTGATACGGGTGCTACTCATTCGTTTATTTTGTGTGAATATGCTAACATGTTAGGATTGAAGTTGTATGATATGAATGGTAGCATGGCAATAGATACTTCTTCTAGTGGTTATGTTACTGCCGCTTTTGTTTGCTCAAGATGTCCTTTAACCATTTATGGTAAGAATTTTATGATGGATTTGGTGTGCCTACCCTTACACCAAATTGATGTTATTCTCGGAATTAACTGGTTAGAGTTCAACTATGTTCATATCAGTTGTTATAATAAGACTTTGAGGTTCCCTAAGTTTGGCGATCATGGAGAACTGATGTTGTTATCTGCTAAGCAAGTGAATGAACTTTTAGAAGATGAAACCTTGATGTTTGCAATGTTTGTGGCACTGTAAGTTGATCGTGAAGTTGTGAGTGTTGATCTACCTATTGTCTTTGAATTTCCAGAGGTATTTCCAGATGATGTCAGTGATTTACCTCCAGAATGAGAAGTGGAGTTTTCTATAGAGTTGGTTCCTAGTACAAGTCCAGTGTCAATGGCTCCTCAGAGGACGTCAGCTTCATAGCTGAGTAAGTTAAAGAAACAATTAGAATAATTAATCAAGAAGAAGTTTGTTCGACCGAGTGTTTCTCTGTGGGATGCGCCTGTGTTGTTAGTGAAGAAGAAAGATGGGATTATGAGATTGTGCATGGACTACATACAATTGAATAAAGTGACTATTAAGAATAAATATCCACTCTCAAGGATTGATGATTTAATGGATCAGTTGGTGGACTCTTGTGTTTTCAACAAGATTTATTTAAGGTCGGGTTATCATCAGATTCGTGTTAAACCAGATGATATTCCGAAGACGTATTTTTGAATGAGGCATGGTCATTACGAGTACACTGTGATTCCGTTTGGTGTATCTAATGCGCCAGATGTTTTTATGGAGTATATGAATCGAACATTCCATTCATATCTGGATAAATTTATTGTGGTCTTCATTGACGATATTCTGATATATTCCTAGTCGAGAGAGGAACATGCTCAGCATTTGCGAATTGTGTTGCAAGTGTTGAAGGATAAGAAGTTGTATGCTAAGCTTTCATAGTGTTACAATGGGAGACTCTAAAGTATGCAACTGAGATTCGAAGTTTCTTTGGTTTAGCAGGTTATTATCGAAGATTCATTGAAGGATTTTCTAAGTTAGCATTGTCGTTAACTCAGTTGACTCGAAAAGGTCAAACTTATGTGTGGGATGTTTCATGTGAAGAAAGTTTCATAGAATTGAAGAAGAGGTTGACGACCTCTCCGGTGCTTATCTTGCCTAATCCGAGTGAGTCTTTTGAAGTATATTGTGATGCGTCTAAGATGAGTCTTGGTGGTGTATTTATGTAAAATGGACAAGTTATTTCTTATGCTTCTAGGCAGCTGAAGGTTCATGAAAGGAATCATCCTACACATGACTTAGAGTAATCAGTTGTGGTGTTCATGTTGAAAATTTAGAGACATTATCTTTTTGGCTCTAGATTTGAAGTATTCAGCGATCATAAGAGTCTGAAGCACTTGTTTGATCATAAGGAATTAAATGTGAGACAGAGAAGGTGGCTTGAATTATTAAAGGATTATGACTTTGATTTAAGTTACCATCCTGGTAAAGCAAATGTAGTTGCTGACGCATTGAGTAAGAAGTCGTTACATATAAGAATTCTTATGGTTCGAGAGTTAGAAATGATCGAACAATTTAGAGATATGAGCTTGATGTGTGAAGAGACTTATAATAGTGTAAGATTGGGAATGTTGAGACTGGCAAGTGGAATTCTTAAATTCGAGAAAGTCAGAAGTTTGATTTGAATTTGGTTGATCAGATGACCCTGATTAACCAAGGTAATGGTGATATTTCAGAATTGACGATAATGGAGTAATGAGATTTGGCGGTATATTTTGTGTTCCACATATGCCAGAAATTAAGAAGAGCATTCTTGAGGAAGAACGTCGAAGTGACTTAAGTATTCATCTGGGTGCTATGAAGATGTATCAAGAATTGAAAAAATTGTTTTGGTGGCCTGGTACAAAAAAGGAAGTTGTCAAGTTTGTTTATGCTTGTTTAACTTGTCAGAAGTAGAAGATTGAGCATCAAAAGCCTTTGGGTCTTATGAAACCTTTGAGTATTCCAGAGTGAAAATGGGACAGTGTCTCTATGGATTTTGTGTTGGGTTTGTTGAAGACTGCTAAAGACAATGATTCGATTTGGGTGATAGTGGATGGGTTTATGAAGTCGGCTCATTTCTTACCGATGAAGATCAATCATCCTATAGAGAAACTAGCTGAGATGTATATTGAAGAGATTGTGAAATTGCATGGGATACCTTCGAGTATCGTATCAGATAGATATCCAAGGTTTACATCAAAATTATAGCAAGGTTTGCAGAATGCCTTTCGTACTAAGGTGAGATTGAGTTCCACATATCATCCGCAGACAAACGGTCAGTCAGGGAGGATTATCCAGTCGTTGGAGGATTTTTTTAGGGCTTGTGTTTTAGAATAAGGAGGAGCTTGGGATAGTCACTTATCGTTGGTTGAATTTACTTACAATATCAATTTCCATTCGAGTATTAGAATGGAACCCTATGAAGTATTGTATGGTAAGAGGTGTAGAACTCTATTATGTTGGTATGAGTCAGACAAGAGTGTTGTACTCGAGCTTGAGATTGTGCAAGAGACGACTGAGAAAATCAAGATTATTCAAGAGAGGATGAAAGCTTCTCAGAGTCGTCAGAAGAGTTATCACGATAAGATGAGGAAGGCACTTAAGTTCCAAAAAAATGATCATGTGTTTTTGAGAGTTACTCCAGTGACTGGTGTTGGTAGAGCTTTAAAGTCAAGAAAGCTTATACCGTAGCTTGTTGGTCCATATCAGATATCAGAGAAGATAGGTGAAGTGGCCTATCGGATTAATTTACCTCCGTCGCTTGCGAATCTTCATAACATGTTTCATGTGTCTCAATTGAGGAGGTACATTCTAGATCCTTCGCATGTGACCCAAATGGATGATGTTCATGTGAGAGATAACCTAACCGTTGAAGCATCACCGATTCAGATAGAGGGACGAGAAATGAAGCAATTGCAGGATAAAGACATCGCCTTAGTGAAGGTATTATAGGGTGGACCAGTTGGTGAAAGTTGGACCTGAGAACGCGCAGATGAAAGAGTCTCATCCAATTTTGTTTTCGCCATGTAATTTTCGAGGACGAAAATTCTTTCGAGTGTGAGAGAATTGTAACACCTCAAAATAATTAAAGTATTTATTTAATTGTTTAATTAATTATGATGAGTAATTGTGATGTATTTGTGATGTTTGATGAATATGAAGTATGATGTGATGTTGTGTTGTATAGTGGGAATGAAGTCATAATTAGGTATTTTAGTAATTTTAGATAATTAGTTTTAATCGTTTAGAATTATTATTAATTAAATAAATAAAACAATAAGAGGTAAAGACCATGAGGGCAAGGTGGTAATTATGGATGGATAAGTGAGGGTAAGATGAGAAAACCATAGAAAGAGTCCAAGGGTTAAACTAGGAAAAAGAGTGTCATACTTTTTATTCTGTACAATCGTAAGAATTTGGAAGAAGCGGTGAAAGAGAGCTAGGACACATGAATTCAGAGAAACGTAGAGATTTCGGTAGAACGCGAAGTGAAAGATTTTCTGCTAGGAATCATAGATAAAGGGAGTTTATCATTGTTATTATAATTGATCTAAGGCTTAGATAATTGTAGGTTTGCATTGGGGTTTTGTTTGATGTTGATTAATATGATGCTTTGATGAAAATTGATGAAATTCTGAGTTTGTTTTGCAATGATTTGATGCCTATGATGTGTAATAATATATGTTGTGGTTATATGATGAAACTAAGTGAATATATGATTAATTGAGACCTGTAATGTGAAGAAATCGTGTAAAAATTGGACTGGTGCAATGCAGAGATTGCAACAGGGAAGTCATGTTCGCGCAGGCTCGCTGGGCGAGTATGGTACGTCATCGGGCGAAGGAGTTTCGCCATTGTCGTGTCGGGCGAGCGAGAGGAGAAGAGACAGGGTGACAAATAGAGCCCTTGGACATTTGTATGGAGATTGGTGACTTGCTTATACTTCGTCGGGCAAAGCAGAGGCGAGGGGTGTCTCGCCTGGCGAGTGAAGTGCCTCGCCAGGCAGGGTGACGAAGGGAAACTAGAGCCCCTGGAGTTTTGTATGAGGAGGAAGCTGTCGCCCCACCTCGTCGAGCGAGCCTCAGGTGAGCAAGCTACTTCTTCGGGCGAGGGACAACAAGCAGGAATTAAAAGTGTTGTAACTTGAGTTTCCGGACTCCGTTTGAAGCGTTGGATAGTTAACACGATGAACTATCACTAAGTGGAACAAAATGAGTTATAGGAAGTATATTTCCAGTACCTATACTAAGATGAAATTAGACTTCCCGTGATGGATTACAATGACGGGTGTCATTTGACGGGTTGTTGATACTATGATGATACCATGTTCTTGCTATGATGATTTGATGATGTGGCGATGATGCTTTGTATGTATATGATATATGTGATGACCTTATTATGATTTTCATGAATGAATCATGTGTTTTGACAAGTCGTGGTCATGTTTTATTATGTTGTTGCACATCATACATTCATGGCATATGTTTAAGACTTCAGTCCAGTGATGTTGTTAAGACTTCGGTCTAGTGAAGTTTATAGGACGATCAGTCTAGTGAAGTTTATAGGACGATCAGTCCAGTGATTGCCTCAATCCCATAATATGATTTGAGTGCAATTTTGTGATGAGCTCTGATTCCAAGCGGGGACCAATCCTATTGGTGGGGATCTTTGGAGAAAACGATGACTGAGTCATCAGTGAAGTTTTGGTACCACATGCATGAGTCTAAATGAAGTTGCATTACATACTTTGTGGCATTGCATAATGATTGATTAGGTGATGCTTGTGAATATGTGAATTGATGATGCGTGTGATGTTTTTACTAAATGTGTTGCAACTACTACATGTATTCCTTATGTCTTTTATAATGATTGTGATTACTCATCCTTTTTGCTTGAAAATGTTGCCTCTATACGTAGGTAACTTGCAGGTGATCATGAATAGTCCGTCGAAGCTTAGAAGATAACTTTGGAGTGTGTTGTTTATTTCCAATGATTTTAGAGGGTCTTGCTCTGATATGTAACATCAGGATCTTTAGGATCGTTTGAATTGACCTATATATTCCTTGTTGACATGATGTGTTGAGAATACTTTATTTCGTCTTTAAGATATTTTGAATTTTAACTTATGAACTATGAAGTGTGATGGAATTTGATTTTGAAGTATTTAATAAAGATGTTTTGAGATAATATTTCTGCTGCGATGTATTGAAGTTCTTGATGATATTTTTCAAGAAATAAATGTTTAATTTTAGAAAATCTGTGTTACGGAATAAGATATATATATATAATATTTATATGAAGATCTGACATCCTTTTGATATGATATTCTAATTTATTATTTATAATATTCAGTGAGATTTTAAAAAGGTATTACAGACGTGACATAGTTACCGTTCGTGATCGTGGGTATGATATGAAGACGTGCTAAAGCGGTTAAGTAGATCATTACCTAACCTGTCTTTTGAAAACAATGCAGTCTTGTCGGTGATATCAAAATAAATGTTCAAGATTTTGAGCTTGATTTTCCATCACTTAAGTCGCTCAAACTCGATGCAGATATTGTCGATTTCGAAATTGACTTGCTATCTGCCTGCCCAATCCTTGAAACTCTGCACCATATTTAGTTTCTGCCCGAATATTGGGCCATAGATCCTGTGCCACTCTCTTCTCAGAAGTTGAAATTTACTGGTGGAAATTTCTCTTGGACTTTCCTTCAAGTAGGCAATACAACATTGGGCATCATTGGCAACTTGCAGAGTATGGTGGAAGCATGCATTAACTTGTTCCCCTCACAAATAAGTGAATTTGTCGACCCTATTCTCAAACTCCTCCAAGACGATTATGTGTCAGAGATACAGTTGCGTCATTCAACATCAAAGGTGAAGCTTTATTATCATGGCAAATTACACTAACCCCCTTAATTCTGTCTAAATGTCATAAACACCACTTTTATTTGTATGTTGACGTGACAAACTCCTCCCCTTAACTTAACATGGTTAGTCCCTGTGCTTCTACATGACATGATATATATCACCACCAAAACTTAGTTGCTGTTTTTCCTAATGTGCATTGCATTTTAAAGAAAGTTGATTGAATGTTTTATTGGCTATCATCCAGAATTTTGCAATTTACTTCATCTAAAGTTCATTCTTTCATCTTTCAACTTGAATCTTCTAATCAACGTGCTTGAGAAGTGTCATATGATTCAAGTTTTCATCATCCAGAGCAACAAGGTTTGTTGGCTTTTCAAGTTTAATTCAAACAATCTTTGGTCTGTTTATGTATGCATATGTTTCTATCTATTTATCTATACAGACATGCAAATATATGCTTGAGTCATGTTGTGTCTTATGCTTGTAGTTAGAAATACTGGATGCTCTTGATGAAATTTCATGGTGTAGGAGGTAGTTAGAAAACAACACATTTGACATTTTCTCCAACCTCTTTTTGTTAAGGACGGTTTTGCATGACTTGAAGGTACCCCTGGAATATATGTTGTGCAAATGTTTAGCTATTGTGGTAAAAATAATTAATTTTGATGCTAACCAATTTTAGCAAATTTCATGTTTGTGTTTGTATAGTCTTAAAGTTGGCATAGGCCTAACATGCATGCCAAAATTCAATTTTGTGAGAAGCAATAGTTTGTGCAAAGAAAAATAGAAGAGCAGATTCAAATTATCTGTTATGTTGCTTACATTCTCAACTTGTTTTTTCTTTGTTATTATTAGACAGCTTAAAAATGCTATATGTTAATGAATATGATTTGTAAAACCTGATTATGTCTATGGATTGAAATTGTGTGACTTGGTAACTTTTTGTATTTCAGCAGATTGTTTAGGTATTTGCAGATTCTTATTTTTTATCTTGTTGACAATAAACCTTATTGGCTTTGAATAACTTTTTCTGCTATATGTTTGGCAGTGTGTATTTGGAGTGCCATGATTTCGGATGCTGTCAAAATCATGTTTGGTCAAATTCTTGGGGCTTCATTAAAAAGATGACATTGAGATCAAAACTTATAAATATATATTTTGCATTTCGGTTAGTAAGGTTCTTTGGTTAGCTAATATCAATACATGCTATGTAAAAGGTCAAACCAATTTTGTTGAAAATCATTGGAAAATCTCACTCATCACCTTTAAATATGGATTTTTGAAGTCACTTGTTTAGAGTGACTATTTATCTGTATTTTTGTTTGAAGTTTGCTGTATATTTTGATCACAAGAATTTGATTTTCTTAACTGAGCCATGTTCATTGCAGCTTTAAACATGAATGCTGATAATGTTAATAATTTTCAAGCTTCTTAGAATAAATAAGTAAATCAATAGAATCTAAGAGTGTGAGAGTTGCTTTTGAATGTTGTGTTTTCTTGAGTCACTCTTATCTGTTAGCTAAAGGCTCTTGAACACGCCATTTCCTTTCTCATAAGAAACATTAAATGTCCTTTTGGCAATTTAATAGCATTGTAAAGAAGCCTAGATTAATATAAGGAAGGCACTTTAGCATGATATTATATTATTTGAAAAATTGGAAGCTGCAAAATAATTTAATTTCTCCTTTTAATAATCATCTACAAATATCATCATTACAAGTAATAGATAATAAAAAAAAGTTCAATGTGTGCAGCAAATATGCTTTTCATGACCCAGACACAAATATCTTTTCATAGCATAGAAGTAATAAAAAGAAAAAGGTACTAATACAAAAGATAAAGCTAGATCTTTAAGCATTCTTTAATCATGTATCTAATGGATTTTGTTTACCATAAATGAAAACAGACAGACAATTCTCAAGTACTATTGCAGATTCAAGATTGCATCTCATAAGAACCAGCTCCATTTGGTAGAGCAACATGAATCATCAATTTCTAAAAGTAATTTCAATGTTGATAATCATTGTTTTTGGAGACACAGTTTCGACAGTGGAAGCCTGCAGTTCCAGTGACATGGAAGCTTTGATGAGTTTCAAAAGAGGAATTCAAATAGACACATCGGGTCGTATAGAGAAATGGGTTGGTAAGAATTGCTGCAAATGGGAAGGTATTGTGTGTGAAAATGCAACCTTTAGAGTGAAAGAGATCAATCTACCAGGATTCATTTCCAATGATGAAGGATTATTTCAAACACAGATGGTAGGATTGATTTCTCCTTCAATAGTATTTCTCACATCACTTCAAGTTATTGATCTTGGTGGTTTAATTGGTCTTAGTGGAACAATTCCACTCAATATTGGTAACCACTTAAAAAATCTCCAAAAGCTTTACCTCTATGGTAATAATTTAACTGGTTCAATACCAGAAAACATTGGAGAGTTGAAGAATCTTCAAGAACTTGCTCTTCATGAAAATAAGCTATCTGGGTCTATTCCTTTGACCGTTGGAAGTTTGAAGAATCTCAAAAGTTTGTTGCTTTATTCAAATCAATTTTCGGGTAAAATACCACACTCGATAAAGAATTTGAAACTTTTGGTAGAGTTGGATGTTCACGACAACGCTCTTACAGGTGGAATACCTCATAGAGTCAGTGAAATGCAAGTTCTTCAAAAGCTTGATCTATCAAATAATTTGTTAACTGGTAAGGTACCATCTTCACTAACTAATTTAACTACCATTTCGGTTTTGTATCTTGACACCAACTATCTCGAGGGAGTCATTTCTTTTCCCTCGAGACCGGGTGAAATGTCTTGTTTAGCCTTCTTAAGACTCAATAACAATCATCTAGCTGGAAATATACCTTCCAATTTTGGTTATCTAGTATCACTTCAAAGAGTTTCTTTATCAAACAACAAACTTGAAGGAACATTACCATCTACTTTAGGTGATTTGGTATCATTGACTGAATTGTATATCAGTGAGAATTTCTTATCTGGCCAAATACCAAAATCAATAGGCCAACTTTCTCAGCTCATAATGTTGAACATTTCTAGAAATTTGATTGAAGGGCCACTGCCTCAAGAGATGTCTTCTCTTCAAAATCTTCAAACACTTGATCTCTCTTTCAATCATTTGAATCGCTCTTCAATCCCAAAATGGATAGCGAATGTGCCGTCCCTTTCTCGCATCTACTTAGCCGATTGTGGAATCAAGGGCCGAATTCCAGACTTTTTACAAACAACCATCAGTCCAATTCAAGAACTCGACTTGTCGGTAAACCTTCTCAATGGAAGCATTCCATCATGGATTGGAAGGTTAAATCAACTCTACATGTTAAATCTTTCAAGAAACACTATTTCTTCATACATCCCTAATTCTTTTAGAAACTTGCATGATTTGTCAGTTCTTGATTTTCATTCAAATAGACTAATAGGCTCCATATCTTTGATTTTTGATATTGGACAAAGTATTTTTGGAGGATCATTAAAATTTGTTGATCTTTCTGATAACAAATTCTCAAGAGGAATAGAGAAAATTGGTTTAAGAGGGCAATGTGATATTCAGTTTCTCAATTTGTCTCATAATCTTCTAAAAGGTAAGATACCAAATGGTATTGGGAGAATGAACTCTATAAATAAATTGGATTTGAGCTTCAATAAGTTAGGATTCAACTTACCTGAGGTAATGGGAAATTTAACCTCATTAGAGGTATTGAAGCTGCAGAAAAATCAATTAAATGGAAATATACCTATTGGATTTCTGAGGTTGATAAAGCTGAAAGAATTGAACTTATCTTATAATCTTCTTGAAGGGAAAATTCCAGAGGGTAAGCCTTTGATTGATTTTCCAAAGAGTTGTTATTTTGGAAATAAAGGTTTATGTGGAAAACCTCTTAGTCCTTGTAAACCATGAGAAGTATCAAATTTAGTTAAATCTATAAAATTGAATATTCACTTATTTCACTAGGAAAAGGATAGAGTATCTGTTTCCCTTCCATTCTTCATGTTTCCCTAAAGAAATAGAAACTTATGAAAAGTATTGATTTTTTTGGTGGGTTTGTGTAATATTGATTATTCTTTAATCGAACAAAAATGCAGAATTTCAAATTTGCAATTATCAATGAATAACTGAAAATTTTGATTTCCTTCACTATTTTAAAGCATGAATTATTTTTGTTGAACTCATTAAAATGAAAAATACATATTTTTTACATTTACTCCCATTGCCATCTTTTCAAGCAGCCCCAAGAATCTGACCAAACATGAACTGCCAGCTTTAGAAATCATGGTAGTCCAATCGCGCACTGCCAAACATATTATAGCAAACATATAGCAGAAGTTATTCAAAGCCCATAAGAGTTTGGTTTACTACCAACAAGACCAAAAATAAAAAATCAGCAAATGCCTAAATTAAGCTGCTATAATGTGTGACAAATATTTTGATAGAGTATTGAAAGCATGGTTTTAAAATGTAGTTTGCAATCACAGTTGCAGTCTCTGTACAGGTGTATGTTAGCATTACAACTGCTACTACAGAAGCATCAATTTGCTATCAGTAATTTCATGCAAGATAGGCAGTAACCTTGCTTGAAAATTTCCCAACATTGCTAACAAACAAGTTAAACAATACTAGAAGCATGTATTCTCTAACATCAACCAAATGTATCTACGGTAACTATTAATCTAATGTAACAGAAAATTATAATTGATGATAATTTAACCATCCTGAAAAATGGCAATTTTAATGTGTACAAAAAAAGCATCTAAAAATAAAGTACATAACAATAATCACGCCTTAGTGGGCTACATGGATCAAACTACGCCATAATGTTTTATTAAAAACCATATTTCTATCAAACTCACTAATCTCAAGATCTTAATAGTTTCCCTTACAGTTTTTTCAGGTCTTCCTAACAGTTTGACTAGTCCCCATCTTATCTAATCTTCTTATTATAGAATCCATAGTTTCTCTCTACATACTCAAACCACTTGAGTCTAATTTTCACCATCTCTTCTACTATAGGTGGTGCTAACAAACATTCTCTTAAATACTACCATTTCAAATCTTATCTCATCTATTTTTACCATACAACCAAAGCAACATCCCCGTCTCTCATATACTTAGAATAACAAAAATGCTAACAAACTTATTATCCTAAAACACTTAATTGTGCACATGAAACCTGAAAAATCCTTAATTCAATAAGCCAAATAAAAGAGAGACAACAAGAGTTCTCACCTTAAGGAGACACATTGGAGTCAAATTTAAGTTGGCATGTGACAGAGCCCCTGGGTATATCAGTTAATCTTTTGAAAGAGCAGTACTTGTTTGTGAGGTCCATTGAAGTATCAAATGAAATAAGCATTGTGTCCAAAATCTGTCCATTATGCAATATATATTCAGCAAATGCTAGCTCATCTTCAAATCCTTGATATCCTTCTATGTGAATATATGTCAAATGGGATTTGAGACATTTTGGAACTGTTGTTAACTTTGGCTCCCATGATCCAAAAGGTAGTGGCTCCTCCTACAAGCAATAAGCGACAAAATGACTCAAAAATATATTTATGTGTGTATTATTGATACTTGATAGATAGATGCACATACATACATGTAATTGAACTTCGAACTCAACAAACCTTGCTACATTGAATTATGAGAACTTGAAGCACATGTAAAAAAACACCACCAAACATGTAAAAATATTATTGTAAAACCAACAAACTTGTTAAACAATTTGTTTCCGTACAAATTTGTGGAGGTTTGGAGAGCGATAGAATTTATCTGAAATAAAATGAAACCAACAAATCACATTTTAGTAGTAGAAAGTTGTATGTGAAAATCTATGCATTGTGATCCACACACTAATTTAATAATGCTAAAAAAAATTAGAATATTCAAAATCTCTAGTTATATGTCAACTTTGTTGGAAACAATAATAATGATATACAAAATTAAATTAAACCTGTATTTCATCAACTTCAATAATAACACAAAACAGTTGAATTGCAATAGATAGAAAAGATATGTTTAAAGAAGATAACAACTATCATAAGGTGTTTAATACTTGTTTAGAACCTTCATTTTATGTGGGATGCATACCTTATGTTCTAATTTGAATAAGTGACGGTTGAAGTGTTGCTGCAATATTTCATTTGCATAATTTATGCAGAACTGTTCAAAACTGTGATATGTAGTATCATCAAAGAGCCAAAATACTTTAAAAATTGAACAGGAAAGGGAGAGTCAGATAAATACAATGAAAGAATGAGACACTGTTAAATATGACAAGTGATTTATTTATTCGTTCAATCAACCAATCAAAAATGCATGAATATATAGACTTTGTCAAAACAACTCTTGCGTCAATTGCCTATAAGACAAAATATGATATGTTAGATATTGACAAAGATTATATCCATCATTTTACTTTCATTTCATTTGGTATTTTGCAAAGTGACTGAGGTCTAATCACTCTATTCAGTAGTCTAAGCACTCTATTCGGTGAGCATTACAACACGATATCATGACTTAGAATATAGAATCTAGAATATATAAAGCTATAAACCGTCACCACCCCAACCCAAAAAATATGTTAATTTGTTCGGTATTCAAACTCTTAGAGGTAGCTATAATATTTTTTTGTAAGTATAATCAGTTATTTCAAAATTATTCAAACTATTAAAGCTCATTTATACAGAACTTCAGAATAAAATCACACAAACTACAAATTGATACAAATGCACAGAAGTCATTGTAATGATACTGAGACCCTTAACATGGTCTTTTACATGTACCCAATGGAGATGGGCTTCTTCATACAAGACTGATGCACCATGACCATTCATATTTAAATGTGGCATCAAAAGAAGAAAAAGAACACATGATAATGTTCATTACCTGCTAGTTTTATATTTCCTTTTTCTTCTATCTAACGACTCTTACAAGAATCAACAACAAAATTTTAAAAAAGCAAATATTTTCAATCAAATCATATAGTATAACAATTTGAGTACTTACTGATGTGTTTGAAAGCAAGAAATCAGCTACCCTGTGTAATTCCTCAGCCATCCAAGTTATGTTTGAAAGCCTTCTTAATGATTCTTTTATTCCTTCTGAGAAATACATTAGTTTTTGCTTTCCTACCCTGAAAAAATTTGTAACACCGTGTCATCAACTCTGCATGATCTAATGTCCAACCAAATGAAAATTGATTACCATGTTCACACCTGGTTTGAGTTAAATATGTTACCAAGCAAAATGACAGCATATATAATAATGAAGATTATAACATGAAGTAGTTGTACTGATGAGTTAAGATGTAAGTTTGTGTCTCAATATCCTTAGCCAGTGCACATGATGATGCTCATAATGCTCACACTTTAAAAGCTACGGATGAAATCCGATTTGACATGATAATGCTCACAACAGAAGACACACCCACTGTCTAACATCACTTTGAATTTGGTTAGAAGTCACACACACCCACTGTCTAACATCACTTTGAATTTGGTTAGAAGTCACACACACTATCATATATATGTATTAGGCATATGTTACTCAAGACAAAAATTGTTACATACTAAACAAAACAGTATGTGTGAAGATTGAGAAAATAGAACAAACCTTGTCGGTCACAAAACAATGAAATCAAGCAATCCAAAATGATCCTGGCAAAAAAAGGATCATGACAAAAGACTGATATAGTAGTTGTCATCAAAGACTTATGTTATCTTCCTAATAATTTCTACGTCACAGCTGGCAGGGTCATGCAACCAAAGCAGAACGACAGTCTGAAAAACCGAAAAGTGTAAGATAAACATCAAAATATAATAGAAATTGCAACCACTATAAAGCTTTCTACATAAAAATGAAAAACTGATATAAATGACAAAATATAAAAGAACACAAGCTTTCCACACTTGTTAATTTCACTTGTTGCTCTAGCTTTTCTTTGTCTAGCTTCTGCTTATTCTTCTCATCACAAAGCTCGTTCTTCTTAGCTTGCAAAACATAACTCTAAAGAACAAATTTTCCTATATAAACCTTTTGACAACTCAATCTCAAAAACCATTACGATTTGACACTATTAAGGTTGAAATTGTAATTGAAACCTAGAAAGACCTAAAAATGAGATTTGTGAAATTGGAAACTACATAGAGATTGAAAAAGAGAGTACTTACGTGAGTAACCGTTACTAGTGAATTTCTTATGACTGAGATGATTCTTGTCCAACAGATCTACACAAAAACAAATAAAATTGTTACAAATTTTATCAACTAACCATAGATGTAAAAGTCATGAAAGCAATACATAATCTTTTAACAACTCTAAAGGCTTTAAATTTGAGTACAACTCACTCCAACTCTCAATTTCAACACATTTCAACAACTCTAAAAGCTTCAAATTTGAGTAAGTTCTCCAATCCCTTTTAATTTTTGCATTTGTATTTTAAGTTGTTTAGATTATGTATAACCTGTAAAAAGCTTGCTTTTATGTGTAAAAATTGAATTTTTGTGTAAAAATGATGTTGTTAGGTTCAAGTTTTGGGTATGGAGTCGCAGGTTTTTTCGAAGATACATCTCCGAAAACCCCTCTAAGGTGTTTCGGAGATGCATCTCCGAAAAAAGGCTTGAGTTTAATTTTTTTAAGTTTCAAAGATGTTCTTTTTTGTTCTCTTACCTTTGATTTGATTAACGATTATTTATTTTTCCAGAATAATGACAAAGATCCCCAACAGATTGAGACTTGGTAGGCCTAGCCAAACTGCATCTGCTCGACGAGAGAGAGCTGAGAAGACTACGAGTTGTCAAGGACGCGGTCAGGTACCGCGGATGGAAGTGGAGAGAACATCGACTTCTGCTCTAAGGAGTCGACTTTCACGTGCGTCCTCGTCTAGGGATTATGAGGAGGAGGAACCCGCGCAGGTTCAGGTTCCAGAACCCAAAATGGAATTTATTTTGAAACCCGAGGAAGAGGCTAACCCGGGTTTTGCATGAGGGACGTATGACACCTCACCCTTGATCTATTACACCAATCATGTCGCTCGATATGTTTAGGAGGGATATGTATATGAATTTTTGTTACAGTTTTCATTTTAATAATTTACGCACTAATATGTTAAAATTGATATTAATTATTTATCTTTATAGGAACGACAACCACTGAAGTGTGTGAATCACGCGCAGAAGACATCCAAATTCCATCACCCTGATGAGGATTAGTTTAGAGAGGCCGTTTTTGCCTCTGAACTTGTCGGCCTTTGTTGTTTCGGTTACAAGACCATCAGCCACGGCATACACGGGGTATTTGTGGAGAGGTGGCACAATGAGACGTCATCTTTTCACTAGCCTGTTAGGGAGATGACGATCACACTTGATGACATCGTCTGCCTACTACACCTTCCTATTAGAGGGATGTTACTTAACCCCTCCCAGATCGATCGTAATGATATGATTGAATGAATGGTCGACTATTTGGGAGTTGGTCCAGAAGAGGCATTTAAACAGTGTTCCTCCACCAATGGGACACATGCCAAGTTCTCATTCTTTAATATGCTATATCACCAGCACCTCTTTGCGGCAGCTGATTCCCGGTCAGAGGGGGACGACTTCTTTGTTCTTTATCACCGTCAGTATGCTCTGAGGTGTTACTTCATGTTCTTGGTTGGCACATCCATTTTTGTGGACAAAAGCGCCAACTACGTGGATGTAGCATACCTCCAGTACTTCATGGATTTGGATATGGTGAAGGATTGGAACTGGGGGGCTGGCTATTTGGTATATCTGCATCAAAAGCTGAGTGAAACCTCTAACAAGATGACACGGTAACTGACAGGATTTGCTACACTACTGACGGTAATTATTATTTCAACTATTAAATTTAATTTACTATTAATAACTATAATTTGTTCTTACATGAATCTTTTTTTTAATGGCTGGATCATTTCTCACTTTCACCACATCCATAGTTTCGATTATGCTCTAGATTATAATGAGGATATGTCGAGGGCTCCTTGGTATGACCCCCACAGAGGGAACCAGGCTGTGCTGCCTTTTCGGGTGTATTTGGATAGGACTGTCCATGATTACATCCAATAGACGCCGTTCGAGGATCACCGACAAATTATCCAATTCGACTTCATCTCACTGTACTCTGGGTGGGTGGCATGTGTGACTAACACTATGATCTGGTATCTGCCAGAGCGATGCATGCAGCAATTTGGCTATGTGCAGACCATACTCAGATCTCCTTTTCAGGATGCTCCTGACACCATTGTCTGTTGGGAGCTCGATGACATCTTCCAGGATTGAGAAAATCATATGGTGTCTGAAGAGGGTCAGATGATGCATGCAACCATTAGTTGGCACTGTGTTGAGCGATACGTGACATGGTTCTACATAGTGCCATATCCTGTCATGACACCAGATGCTCCTGGAGGTCCACCTAGGACAACTCATGAGGAGATCTTAGAGAACCAGTAAGACGAGGATGACCATGCCATTGATCTATTATCGATCTGTCACTGGATACAGATGATTGGGTGGGAGGCTTTGGACATAGGTATCATTGACTGGAGCGGTCTTGAGGCAGTGGCCATTGTAGAACAGATGATTGGGGAGGCAGAGAGTGCGGCGGAATACAGTAGACAGAGGAGGGACCAGGAAATGACGATCAGGCATACACAGTAGGTTTGATTTTTTTATGCTTTTTTTTTTAATTTCAGAATAATTTATGAACAATTATTGTATTATTTTTTATTATAAACAACTTATTGTGTCTTTTATCGTTATTTATGTCTTATCTTTTTTAATTTATATTTTTATTATCGTTTTCATCTAATTATTTATCCACACATTGATGATTTTAAAAAAAAATCATTGTCTAGGATTCTGAAGATGAATCTCCGAAAAAACTAAATCAGGGTGTTTCAGAGATACATCTTCGAAAATATTACTGCATATTTAAATATAACGTCCAAGTCTAAACAAATAGTTCTGAGAGATACATCTTCGAAACACCTTAATTTGGGATGTGTTCGGAGATACATCTCCAAATAGTATTTTCGGGTTTTCAGAGGTTTTTTCCTGTTCAGATTGAATCTACATGGAATGAACTTCGATGTTATCAAGTTAGAGGTGTTGAATTTGTCAAAGTCGAAAGTTGACGATCAAACACTCTATGTGGTCTCAAAGAGTTGCTATGGATTACTACAATTGAACTTGGAACAGTGTTGTGATATCACAGAGAAGGGAGTGAGGCAAATAGTAGAAAACTGTATACAACTGAGAGAAATAAACTTCCGAGATTGTCTTAAAGTGGTTTCTGATGTTGGTTTATGGACTGGGATGATGTTTTCTAGGCCATCATTGAGAAAGATAATAGCTCCCCGTAGTTTTCTTCCCAACGGCAGCCTGTGGGAACTCATGTTAAGTCATGGATGCACTATTTATTAGAATTCTAAAAGGGTTAAAAAAACTCATCTGAATTGTATCTGTATTTTTACACCTTAATTTTTATTTTCATGAGAAATATTAAATTTTGACATCAGATCGAATAAATTCTAACGGCTGCATTTTTTATTTTAAAGATTGTGTTTTTGTATCCCTATACCTGTACCTATCGGTTATAGATTTTAGAGTTTGATATTTTTGTTTCGTAAGTGTCAAATGAGTTATGTAGTTATTAGTTATGTACTACTTTGCCTAATCTTTTTGTTGCAACATTTATCTGTCCAATACTTTTAAGTGATCCATCTTTGTGCTTCAAACTAGCTTACAATTTTTCTACCTGTTAATGAGAGAGTTTGAATTTGATATTCTTTGTATTTATGTTGGCAAATATGTGTCTCTTAAGAGTATGGATCAACAAGTTTGTCTCTGTTCTGCCAATTTGGTTGAATACACTAGAATTGCTAAGGTACCCAGTTACACTCAATAACCAACATGGTAAACGAGGTCAATGCTATAGAATGACAATTCATTAGAATAGCTCAGGTACACTTTGTTCCAAATGCTCCATAATCAATTTTGAGATATTAGTAAAAAATGTCTCCGCAACTATTAGATCCATCAGATACAACAAGCCTTCCTTCTCTTTGATGCTTAGCTAGTGCTACATGATCAAAGCTTATCAGTAAAATATATGTCAATAAACTAAATTGAAAGCATATATCCTTAACCAAATCATTTCATATCAAAAGAAAATGAAAGTTATGCATAATCAAAGCATATCTTAAATGCAATTGCAAACTGCAGAGATGAAACATGCCCTGTAACGCATAGACGTCCTGTGACGGAAGCAAGGCAGCCAAGGCAGCTACACAGGGGGTGGCAAGGCAGCTACGGTCGGAGAAGGTAAAGCATTACAAGTTTTATGGTTCTGGTTGATGTGTTCTCGATCCTTTTCTGTTGTAGTTTTCTTTTCTGAAACAAGTTTTGCACGTGGGATCATCTTAGCAGTCCGAGTTATCAAACGGTCAAAAATGAGTAAAAGACACTCTGATGTTCCTGCGTGGATGTTAGAGAATCTGCATCCGCACATTACAAGTAACACAAACTATTATACATAAATTCCAAAATGATTTCAGAACAATGCCGTTGTTAGTCGTGCAGATAACCATCACCTATTATTCTAAAAGTGCTGCATAATTATGTTTTAGTCTCATATTTGTAAACTCTTGGCAGAGTTCAAAACTTTTCATAATTTAAGATATAGTTTTTGCTCTCTAGAATGACATCTTAGTATATAAAAAAAACTCAACTGTAGTGAATTCATTTCAACAAAACATCTTCGTATTATATAGACTTAAAGATATTTGAACACACACCAAATCACCAACCAGTACACAAATAAACATCACATATTACATATACATTACTACTAGATGAATTTAGATTTCACACATGGCTCTTGATGGAGGAGCTATAACCACTCTGAACATCATCATACCTAGACCACAACATAACACCCCCATACTTTGCAGAACCCTTAATAGCTGGAAGCACGGTAGAAGTAAGATCAGTTGCAGGAATAAAGCCACTTCCCGCAGCTGTAGGAGAAGCAGGTAACCCTAAGAATATCTTGCTTGCGGGGATACCTGATATCCACTGCTTCCATGCATCTTCAAAGTTGCTAATTTCACTAGGATTGTATTGACAAGGAGGATTATTGTAGAATTGTACCCAAACATAATCGAAAAGGCCTGTTGTAAGTGCATTTCCTATCCAAGCATCTGGAAATGGGCACTGAGGAGCTGCAGTTATGTAAACTTTCTTGTTATATCCTTTAAGGTATCTGGCAAGATCTCCCCAGTGTTGGTTTGATCCTCCTTCGATATCAAAGTCAATGCCATCAAGAACAGCAGGACCAAGAGGGCGAGAGGAAGATTTCCCACCTAAGAAATTATTCCAAAGATAAGTTGCAACACCACTTGCATCTTGTGTTGAAGCAATCGAGTAACTTCCAGCACCTCCTCCTATTGACAGCAATACTTTGATGCCTTTGGCTTGACATGATTTGATGTCTGAGGTTAAGCCGATGCATTCGTTACTGTATGGATCACAATGACCAGCTAGATTGATCATCGGAGTTTGGCCATTGCCGAAAGTCGGTAAGAAGGCTATGATCACGTATTCATAGTTACCTGTGGCACAAGCCTCGGCTAACGTGCCCTCATTTCCATTCTGGCCCCAGTAGACTGCAATTTTGCCAGCATTAGAACCATTTGCTAGTGCTAGCATGACTATAGATAAGAATGTGAATGAGATTGTTGATTTCAATGCCATTTTCATGTGTGTTGGTGTTGTCTATATGTATTGAATCTCCACGAGATTTATGTGTTGATTAATTTATGGCTAATCATAATGGTGGGGGTGGATTTTATAAGGGTGATATTACTGAGAATGTTACAAAAATGTGGTCTTTTTCCTCATAAGAACGTTGCTAGAAAGTTATTTTGGCTGGGGTTGCATGTTTTAAACGTAGTCATTGATGCTACCCCATTTGACACCCCTCTTGTCTGCTTCTTTTTGTTGCGTCTCTTTTTCCTTTGAATTATGTTTTTCTTACTTTTTTCAGCTACTTCAAACAAAAAAGTAGTCATTGTGAAGATTCTCACATTGGATAATCGGATGATAGGACATGAACACGTCCTTATAAGTGGGGACAATCTTCACCCTATAAGCCGATTTCGTAGGAATGAGTTAGGTTCAACCATATTTATTAACATGGTATCAGAAGTTAAGGGTTTTACGATCCCTTCTTTTGTGCCTTAACAGCCTTGTTGTACTGTCAACCACCACCAACGTTTCAGCACACCAGTCACACAGACAGAATTGTCTGCTCCGATCCGGACCCTCCTTAGAAAATCACCGTCAACCACTGTCTCACGCGCTCACACGTGTCGCCAACTCGTATGGTCCTCATGCGCCTCCTTCACTACCGCATGTGAAGGTGCGTCTGGCCTCTGTTTCGGTATCCGTTTTCACCACCTTGCTCAGTTTTCCGTTCTGATTTCGGATCTGTACTCAGATTTTTCTTTTCCAACCATCAACTCTCATGGAAGACATTGATTTTTTCACGTTTACCTAAATTTTGCTTATGTCGTGCGACAAACTAACCGGAACATTCAACTACAATATATGGGTTGGTGATGTAAAGACATAGTTTCAAGGTCAAGAATTTGAAGATCACCTAACCACACAATCAGATGTTATTCTTGCCGCGGTAAGTGGGAACAAAATGATGCCTCTCAGTGCACTATGTTATGGGTTTTAATAACAAATAATCTCCAAGCACAGTACCAAGTCTTTACCACTTGCTATGAGGTTTGAGAAAAGGCTAAGAAAGTCTTCTCCAAAGATGTCCATTGTATTTAGAGTGTCGTTCTCAAACTCAACTCTTTGAAAATGGAGAATATGGATATGCAAGTCTATCTGAGTAAGTTTGATGTGTTGAAAGAAAATTTCACAACCCTAATTCCTTCTACAAAAGATGCAATAACTCATGCCGAACAACGCAATAAGTTTTTTATGATCAATGCACTTGTCGGACTACGACCGGAACTCGATTCAGTTTGAAACTAGATTTTATTAGGCTCCAATGTTCATAACTATGAAACAGTTAGTGAAAAATTGTTGTGCTTGGATACACCTCATGCTTTTGGACCGGTCTCTACTTCATCTTCCACTGATTCATATGCCCTTGCTTCCAACTATCATGGTTGTAGGGGACAAAACAGAGGACGCGGTGGCCAACACCATGTTATTCGTTGTAACTATTATAATCGTTACGACCATATTGAAGCTGAATGTCGTACAAAGGAAAGAGAACAACAACGGTAATTACGGGTTACTGATATTGCTCAACCGACTATCACCAAAGATGTTACTATTTCTGCCACTAATTATAATTAGTTCCTTCAGTTCAAAGCAGTCCATCAACCATCATCGTTTGTCGTTGTCTCTACATCCTTTCTTGGTCCTTGGGTCCTTGACTCTGGTGCCTCTGATCATATGATTAGTAAAAAAATCTCTTTTATCTCATGTCTTATTCTGATTCTTTGTATTCTGTCATTGTGGCTGATTACTCTAAAATCAAAGTTCAAGGCCTTAGTCAGACACACCCACTTCCAAATTTGTCTTAAGACGTTGTACTTTATATTCTTGGTTGTCCTTTTAATCTAACACATGTTAAAAAGCTCACTCGTACTCTTGATTGTCCAGTCCTTTTTAGTGATAATTTTGTTTATGTCCATGAACGACGTACAGGACTGACAATTAGAGCAGGGAGTGAGTCTGGAGGATTATATCATCTATCTCCACTGGTGACATGTGCTTCTATTGCTTCTCAAGACATTACACATTAACATTTTGGTCACCCTAGCCTTAATAAAATGTGTAAGTGTTTGGTTATTGGCATTATTTTTGGCAAAACTAGGTGTGTGAATGTCATGACTGATGTCATAACATTTTGGGTTACTAGGTACTTTCTGCAGAAAAAAGAATGGCATACAGTAGCTGCTCATTATGAGTGTGTATCTGATCATTTTGCAATGATCACTTTTATCACATTCTACCAAAATCAGTAAACAGGATTCTTGTTGTCATAACCAATGTTAAGACATCCTGTACTGATCTAACAGTTAGGCAGTTTTGTTAATTCTGAGATTTTTCAGGAATATGACTCATACATTCCAGAACAGAATCTCACGTGGACTTTAGGTTAACTTGGCTTAACCCTAATCTAATTGATAAAGTCTTGTGACCAAGTCTTGAAGTTAACCCTAATTAACCCTAGCTATTTTCGTGGAAGCCCTAACTGAAGAACAGCTGCCTATATATTCAACAGGAAGGTTGTTGGTGAAAGATACTTTTAGACAGAAGATCATCTAGGAGCTGTATAGTTTTAACTACTGTAATCCAAGCAAGTATCATTGTGATAAGTGACTTTGAGTAGGTTTTGATTGTAAGAGTTGTGTATCACTCAAAGCTTTGAAGCAATAGTGTTTGTGTCACTTTATTAAAGCTTTGAAGCAAGGTCAAGTTAGGTTTATGTATCACTCAAAGTTTTGAAGCACGAGTGTTTGTGTTACTTGATTAAAAGCTGTGAAGCATAATCAAGTGTATATTCTGAAGAGTGTCTTCATAATTTCATTAGTCAATTGTTTAGTATCACTGCTGTGATTGAGGGGGAGTGAGTAGGAACTCAGGTTTAAGTTGAACTTAGATTGAAGTTGCATTGGGTAGGTCTTAAGTGAAGAAGATAAACTGGTTGGTTTATTCCTGAATTAATATCTCTTATAGTGAATTTCCTCCCTGGCTTGGTAGCCCCCAGAGTAGGTGTTGTTTCACACTGAACTGGGTAAACAATTGACTGTGTTCTTTACTGCTTTTTGATTTACTGTCTTATAGAAAGTCAGATACAGTGTCATAACATTCACTGTGACATTGAGTATCTGCTGCCAGAATTTCAATTGGCATCAGAGCAGGCACCTTGCCTGTCTTACTGGGTGAGATCTAGGGATATCACTTTCTGGCGCTATGGACAAAGAAGGAGTTTTTGGAAACAGACCACCCATTCTGGATGGATCAAATTATGACTACTGGAAACCTCGTATGGTTGCCTTTTTAAAATCACTGGACAAAAAGGCTTGGAGAGCTGCTGACAAAGGATGGAACCATTCCACTATAACTGAGAAAGATGGGACAATCAGTCTGAAACCTGAGGAAGAATGGAGCAAAGAAGAAGATGAGTTAGCCCTGGGTAATTCCAAAGCATTAAATGCCTTGTTCAATGGAATTGATAGAAACATATTCAGACTAGTACATCAATGTGAACTGGCCAAGGAAGTTTGGGACACTCTCAAAACTACCCATGAGGGCACATCCAAAGTAAAAATGTTAAGGCTTCAGATGCTGACTACCAAATTTGAGAACCTAAGGATGATGGAAGATGAAACCATTCATGAGTTTCACATGAACATCTTGGAGATTGCCAACACCTCAGGAGCATTGGGAGAAAAGATGTCAGAAGAAAAACTGGTGAGAAAGATTCTCAGATCCTTGCCTAAAAGATTTGCAATGAAGGTAACTGCTATAGAGGAAGCCCAGGATATCAGCAATTTAAAGGTGGATGAACTCATTGGGTCTCTTCAGACCTTTGAGATGGGGATCAGTGACAATGTCGACAAGAAAAACAAGAGCATAGCACTTGTATCTAATACTGAAGATGAAAACAAGGAGGATGAAGAAGAAAATATTTCAGAAGCTATAGCCATGTTTGGAAGACAATTCAACAAACTCATTAAGAGAATGGATCCAAAGTCAAGGTCAAATGTCAAGAACATTCCTTCTGACATTAACAGATCTTATGACTCCAGCAGAAGACCAAAGTCTGAAGAGAAGGGAAATCAAAGCAGAGGAATTCAATGCCATGGATGTGAAGGATATGGGCACATTCGAGCTGAATGTCCTACCTTTCTTAAGAAACAAAAGAAAGGAATGTCTGTTACTTGGTCTGACTGTGATTCAGAAAGTAATTCTGAAGAAGAATCTGCCAAACTAGTTACTGCATTGACTGGTATTTGTAACTCTGATAGTGACTCTAGTGATGAGGAAGTTACATTTTAAGAACTGGCTGATTCCTACAAGAAATTATGTATCATAAGTGCTGAAGTCTGTCAGCAAAATGAGAGACAAACAAAACTCATAATAAAGTCGGAGGCTGAGAAAAAGGCAGACATTAATACTATAAGTCATCTAGAAGGGGAAGTTCAAATGCTAAACTCAAAACTGGACCAGATGACCAAATCTGTCAAGATGTTGACAAATGGAACTGACAAATTGGAAGAAATCCTTCAGGTTGGACAAAATGTGGGAAACAAGTCTGGTCTAGGATTTGTGGCAGCAAAGAAATCTGGTATAGACAAGAAGATCAGGCCTGATAAACAAATGTCAAAGCAGATGTTACAACATAGCACTCAACATCCTGAACAGAGAAATATGAAGAAAAAGTATCAAAGATGGAGATGTCATCATTGTGGGAGGTTTGGTCACATAAAGCCATTCTGCTTCAGATTATATGGATATCCTAATCAGAACCCATGTGTCAAACCTAAGTCTAACAAGGTACCATATACTCCACAGTGGAAGAAAAAGGCTACTGCCCTGATAGCTCACACTTCCCTTAGAGTCTCTGCAAAGGAAGACTGGTACTTTGACAGTGGATGTTCTAAGCACATGACTGGAATCAAGAATCTTCTCAATAATATTAAACCTCACACCACTAGTTA